ATAATCAAACTAAACTATGAATTTTTCCCTTACTCAGACATACAAATACAGTTTGGTCTTAAGTACCTGTTTCTCTTTCAGTGCTAGAGGCAAGCACAGAGCTGTAGAACGCTACCTGTTTTGGACAGGACTATATTTAGTGTTGCTTAATTACAAAACAAAACAAGAACTACACAAGAACATAACTTGCCCTTGTAGATGGCTACAGCTCCTGTTGGCCTCTTGAGGAGGAAGTGGGGACTGTGAGTGTTTGCGTCTGTGTTGGGTTTGGCTTCAATATGACTGAAATGGAGTTTTAAGAAAACTTCAAGGAAAGCAGCAGTAGCTGGCAAAAAGTATGCTGTACCTAGATTGTAGTCCTTGGTGATTTCAAGGGCTGAGAGCCACCTTCTGCCTTCCAACTGGGGAGTGCAAAGCAGCATGAGGACTTGCTAGGGTTAGAGTAGAGTAATTGGAAAATCAAGTTCTTTAAAGACCTGTGTGAACCAGCCTGAGGAAGTCTGCAGGAGAGCAACAGGAGTGATTGGAGATCTACAACAGGTGACTTGTCCAGTTAAAAAAAAAAAGTTTCAAAAAATATTGGATGACTTCTTAGCCTCAGGTAAATAAAGGCTATTGCCAAGAGTAAGGAATAGCTTGTCCTCCACAGGCAAGGTGTAAGGAACAGTAACAGGCTACATTTGCTACAGTTGCTATGGGAAAGGTCTGAGCTAGCACCAGGAATATTGTGCTGCTGGTAAAGCTAGGGAAGCACTGATGTAGACTGTGTGGGGAGTTTTCCAAGTCCCTGCCATGTGAGGTTGTTAGGAATATATTAGATAAATATGGGCTGGGGGTAATGCAAATAAAGGCACATCTTCAGTGTGGGCAGAGTGTGGACTAGGTAATCACTTAGTCTGTCTCTATTTCCATAATGTGGTTGCTGGTGAGCTAGCCCAGCTTCCTGGGTACTGAGGATGCACTTCAGGGGCTTCCCATCACGGCTGGGGCCCAGACAAGTCCAGATGGCCCAGCAGCAAGGATTTCTGGCATTGCCTTTCTTGAAAGGAAAGATTTTCCCAGGAAAAGTGTTGGAGGTCGTATTTCAGTGTTCTTGACATTGTCTAAAATTATAAATTCATTTGTAATCTCAAAAGTCAAATGTGTTGATTTATTTTTTTCCCTTAATCCACACAATTCTGAGGCAGGTGAGGGAGAGTATGGCATTGTGTAATAGTTATGTAGTACAAAGACTGTAGTACAAAATAAACCCAGAAAAATGCACATAAGTAGAAAAATGTCACCGTGTTGCCTCAGAACTGTGCATATTTATATCATTTGGAAAGCTGTTCAGAGACAATGCTGTCTGTTACATGTACTTTATCAGATAACCAGGAGTTGTAGTTGGTATTTAAATGTTATGAACATCTGTTTCTGGTTATCAAAGAAAAACTCTAGGTCAACCACAGATTGCAACACTTCTGTTTCTGTGAGTCATGTAAACATGTTGCCAACAGCTGCTTAGCTTCAGATAAGAGTGAGCCCCGTCTGCCTCACCTACCCGCAAAGGGCTCAGGCTACACCCCAGATGCAGTTTTATTCATCCAAACAAAACTTGAAGACCACCTCAATTAAAACAGTTTCTTTACACATTTTAGCTTAAGGTTGCAGAGCACCTTTTCATCAAGGTTTGCTAAAAATCATGCTGGTTTTTTTTCCTTCCTCTAATTGAGCCTACTTCAGAATTTTATATGCAGCTGGATGTGGATTAGCAGTTGTTTTAAATTATTTTGTCATGTCTATTTAATCAGAATAACCTTGTGCTATTTTTAGTGCTCTTTGTGGGACAGAGCAGAGTTTTAAATGAGTTATTATTATTAACCTGCATCAAGAGTGACTGAGACACTCATGCATGTACTTTCAATTTTTGTCATATCCCTTAGTAAATTTTTTTTCTCTTAGCACTTACATGAAAATGAGAAGTACTACTATCCCCATGGTAGAGATGAGTCAGTAGCACAAAGGAACTTAAAAAAATAGCATGAACATCTGCATTCTTATTAATATTTATTTCAGTATTAAAAGATATCTGGATATAGTCAGATGAATCAATTAACATAATTTAATGTTAGCATTATTACACATCTCTTATGTAAGATTCTTATGTGTACTGTAATACCTGTGTATACATTTAATTGAGTATGCCACTGACAACTTCACGTAAGAAAACATTTTTAAGTATGTGAGAAGACATTAAGATTCAGTGACTTTTGCCTATCTCAAAATCTTACTTAGACCTTTTGGAAATTTCAGTTCTGTTAAATTAGTGGTTGATCTTCTGAGCCTAAGTCAGGTCCACCTGAAACGCTTTGGAGGACTTGTATGAGCATGTGTAAATGCATAGATAGATAAGTAAATTTTGACTGTAAGTAACTGATTTAATAGTGGAATTCAAGGTGCTTTTATTTTTTTGACACTGTTTGCATAACTTCACTGCCTTCCTCTTATGTTTTAGAATAATGCACAAGGTACTGTATTCATGCACAAGTGTCGCTACTTGTTTGCTAACAGAAACAGTATTAGGCCCATTTGTTCTAGATATCGGGGATGAGTGCTTTAAATTACTGAGGTGAATCTTCTGGTGATCACGTATGACTTTTTTTAGTCAAAGCCCTATGTTTCTGTACATTTCACATAATTTCTTTTGCTTTTTTAGACTCATTTTTTGCCACTCCTTCCCATGTCAGAGTGCATGTGAAGTGAGTGTCTGGATAGCTTGGCTGATGCTATTGATAACTCTTGGTACATTCATCTTTTCCTTTACAGCCACAGCTCTGGTAGCTCTGTTCTTAGGTAATGAAGAATTTTAGTCATTTTTACTACTGCTAGACTGGGCAGTTCCTTCTTTCTTGCTATTTTTCTTTTTGTAGCAATTTATATATCTGTTACAGAGTACCCACAAAATGAAGCTTATCAAACCCATGGAGATTTTAAGTCCATTCAGCTTAAAAGGCTGAAGTGGAGTCTTCATCTTCCTTTTACAGAAATACCTTGCCTGGCCTTAACAAAAACTTTATACAGCTCAGGATTTTAACACTGTGTATGCTGCTCTTTTATTCTGAGTCTCTCATGCCTCAGCACAAGCTTTCTTTGCTGTGATGCTGCTGCTTCATTCATACATGACAATAGTAACAGACAGCCCAAGATGTTCTTTCTTTTTTTTTTTTTTTTTTGGTCCTGGTTTAAGAAATGGGAGGAAACACTTGAAAAAATATTTTTATCATGTTTCACTTCCCCTGTGGCTTTTAAGGTCAGTTCCAGGGTTAGTATTTTGTGTCACTGGTTTTAAGATTCAGACATATTTTTCCCTCTTGAGGCAGTGACACAAGAGCTGGCTGGTGAGCGTGGTGTTCCTATAGTTCATCTCTGTTCACTTGTGGAAAATTATTTCCCCTTTATGTCTCTCAGTAGATGTTGCAACTGCTAGGGTGACATCTGTAGTTATTTCTTCCTGTTTTGATCTGCTCTGAGGAAGTTCTGCTCTAAAAAGTTTCTTCGTAAAAATAGCGTTCTCTTACTCAACAAAATGTCTATTCTGTTTTAAATTCCACCTTATTTGCTGACAGTAGTGGAAAATATAAAGTTACTGTTTTTCTTCTTGTCTTGTTAGAGTTGCAGAAGCTAAAGTTTATATTAGAATTAACACGTAGTGAACACTCTGCCCCAGCTCAGCATTCCTTATCTGTTCCACTTAAGTACGTGCTTAAGCTCAAATGCCATCTTGGTGCCTCTTCACAACCATACACGCTTCTCAGAGCAGGGATGGACACAAGCTTGTAAGGCTTTGCTCATTTGCAATCCTGAGCTACCAGTGGCTTCTGCAGCTCTGGTCTAGAGTCCTTCCTACTAAGGATAAATGTGAACTGAAAAGTGCTCTACACAACCAGTGCAAGTATCAGACCTCACATAGCTGCAGTCATTACAAGTGTCTTTTTTTTTGAACTTATGTATTGATCAGTTTTTAGACTCCTGCCCCAACCCCCGTAAGCAGGTACAATTACCATGACTAAACTTCTTCAGCTGACTTTTAAGTGGACGTTCTTCACCTGTTACTTGCTGTGGACTGGGAGTGTATAACTGTTTAATTACCATAGTTCACTTGACACATGGTAGCTTATTAAACCCTCATATCTTGATCACGTGTGTCTGAATGCTGCTAATAGTTTAAACAATTACTTGCAGAGAAGATAAAAGATTGAACTAACCTAGTTTAAAGCAATGATGGAGTTCATAAGTGTTTCTCTGAGTTCAGCAAACACCTTGAGTAGACCCTGAGCTGCAATAATTTGCAGTATGTTTTTAAGCTGATTTTGTTTAAATTGGTACAAGAGACTGTGGGTGTTTTTATTTCAAGTTAATTAGGGTAACTTTGGCTGGACTTCAGTTAATTAGGAGCAAGTTTATGCTAAACTGAATAGGTTGTTCTTATATAAGAAATAAGAATCTATTCTCTTCTGAAATAAGAATCTATAAGAAAACATGGCCATTCCTGAACCAAGCTGATTTGTGGGAGATGAGATTATATTGAAACATCTATTTCCTAAATCATAAATACGTCATATATTTAACTATGTTTCTTTGATGTTGCTATGAAAACAAACTGCTCTGGTCCTTTTTTCAAATACGTATTTATTCTGAAGTTTTGTAAAATAATCAAAAAATAGTATGCCTTCTAATTTCCAAAGTCATATTCCCTTGGTCTCTCAGTGCCTTTGTGAAGTAGGAAGTCGTTAAGCTCTATCATTCCAGTATTTACATGGTATATTGTAACGAAGATTTGAACTCTGTCCTAACAGCTTTGCTCTAACTCCATCCTAGAGCATGGGAAATGACCATAGTCTGACACAAGCTATACTCTTTGCTTTATGTTGTATGCTCTGTACAGTCTATATTACTAGTAGATAAACTCCATGTGAGCAGTGAGCATTGGGTTTTATCTGTGCGTTTTTCTGTCAACCCAGGAAGAACATTCTTCGATTCTTGGATGCTGAAAGAGATGTCTCAGTGGTCAAAAGCAGCTTCAAGCCAGGAGATGTAATCCACTATGTACTGGACAGACGTCGCACCCTAAACATTTCTCGGGATCTGCACAGCCTTCTCCCTGAAGTTTCTCCAATGAAGAATCGACGATTTAAAACGTGTGCAGTTGTTGGGAATTCTGGCATCCTTCTGGACAGTGGATGTGGAAAAGAGATTGATAACCATGACTTTGTAATAAGGTGAGTTTTCATGTGCTGTTGAAGATAGAGCCTGCTATGTTTCTTGGACAAAAGCTGGGAGAAATGTTTTAATCTGAGATTAAATCTGATGATTGCAGGCATTATCTGAAATTAGTCTGAAACAGTATCCATCACTGTGTGGTTCCCCAAATTTAAATACGTGCCCAATACGTTGACAAGAAGATTATATGAAAATAAAACAAGGGCCAGAGGAGAGACATTTGTGCTACTTATTTTTGTTATTTGTTGTTTTCATTCCAGACAAAATAAATATTCTTACAGAGGCTGTGGTGAAATAAATGCAAAATGTTTTCTCTTTCAAAAATACGATTTCTTAGCTGTTACCCAATAAAATGGCCTATTGTAAATTATTACATGTAAATTACCACTTATGTGCAGCATGGGGTAAAATTTCAGTGTGATGTATTGATATTGAACCAGATGGCTGTAATTAAGGTAATTGAAAGTCATACGAGGCAGCCCAACCAACAAATGTGGTAACTAGAGCCACCAAGAAAAAAAGGCGCGTGGTGGTAGTGGGTGACTCCCTCCTGAGAGGAACGGAGGCACCCATCTGCCGACCCGATGCGCTGTCTCGGGAGGTATGCTGTCTCCCGGGGGCTCGTATCAGGGATGTTGCCGAGAGAATAGCTAGCCCCATACGGCCCACAGACTGTTACCCACTACTGGTGTTTCATGTGGGTGCCAGTGACACAGCTGGCAGCAGCCTGAAAAACATCAAAAGGGACTTCAGGGCCCTGGGTGCAGCAGTCAAGGACTCTGGGGCACAGGTAGTGTTCTCATCAGTGCTCCCAGTTGAGGGGCAGGGACCTGCAAGGGCCAAACGTATCTGGCAGGTCAACTCATGGCTCAGGGACTGGTGTTACAGCCAGGGCTTTGGGTATTTTGA